GATACCATACTGTGCTATGAATCACCAAAATATCATCTCTTTCCTTTGTTTTGGTCTCAAGAAGCATTGATTGGCGCTTTCATATCATTTGCTGCGTTGGGTCTATCTCGGTGACAGACTGAGACTGCTGTTTTCTTCTCCGATCAAAACAATGTTGTCTTCTACTGTGGTCAAAACAATGTGCCCCCCCTAGCGGATAATCCACGAATTGCATTTTATTTAAAATATTCATTCTGTGTCTTTAATGCATTTTTTTTTCACTTTTAAATCATCCCGCGGGCCGGATCAAACCTCCTTGGGGGCCGGTTCCGGCCCGCGGGCCGTATGTTTGACACCCCTGGTATAAAGCAACACTTTTGATTTTGGTTCTCTGTGGCTCCTAAATGCTCAGTTCCGTCCAGTAGCTAATTACTGACTTTGTCTTCCAGGACAGGCAGTCAGTCATGTTCGGGCTTTTTTTTTTTTTTTTTGCCAGCTCTATGAGGACGCTGTAATGATTACTGAGACGACAGCAATCCAAAACGTCGCATTTGCCCGGGCTTGAAAAATCAAAACAATTAGCTGACAGATGCTTAAAAGCTCTGCAACACAAGCGGGGGGAACTCCAAATTCCATTTGGGTGATAATGATCTGAGCAATTGTCACTAATGGGGACAGGATTCGCATTGATTCAGGGTTTGGCGTAATTTCAACAAGCAATGAGTGCAAACGACTTTAAGACAAAGAGAGATGTCCATCACTGTCTTCTTTCTTTTGTTTTTAAACAATTATTGACTAAAATGAGCAACACACACTATTTTTAACATGTCAACCATTTTTTCTTATTTATTTTTTTTTGAATTGTTAACCACCCTACTGTATACTGAAAGAGGAAAACAACAAGCAAGTGTGTTCTTACTGCTGCCAAATAAAATGTTATTGATTTTTACAAAAAAAAAAAAGTTGAAATTGAACAGAGATAATTGATGTCATTCTATTGGCATCACCAGACCACAAATTGTTTAACTGGAACGGGGTGGAAACACACATCAATATGACTTTGACGAGCTAATTTGGGTGTTTGGCTCCAATGTCGTCCGAAATCTGAAAAGCTGTTCTCAGTAATTCCCCGAAAACTCAGTGATGAGAGGTTTCAAAATTGCAACTTGCAAGGAGATGACAAGTACTGTTTTGAGCTTTGGCCCTCAGATATACAGTGGGTCAAAATCAATAGCGTTCTTGCTTCAACATGGGAAAAAAAATCAATAATATTAAATAAAAATAGGCTTTCATGGTGGCCAGTCATTTTATTTTAGGATTGATATTTCAGACATCCACCGAATATGATGTAAATCATACACACCGAAAAAGTAATCATTAGTTTTGCACTGTGGATGCTCAGAAGCAGAAATGCTTTTTGCTGCTCTAAAAATGTCATATTGTAGGCTCTTTTGCTGACAAGCGCGCCCGAATTTCACATTTTATTGTGTGTATTCAAACCATAGGCATAAAATATCAAAGCAGTGTTCGAAATGAAGCTTTTACAGTTAAATATGGCTGTGAAGTCACACGCAAATCATTGCACACAACATCCATCCATCCATCCATATTCTGATCCGCTTATCCTCACAAGGGTCGCGGGGGGTGCTGCAGCCAATCCCAGCTGTCTTGGGGCAGTAGGTGGGGCACACCCTGACCGGTTGCCAACCAATCGCAGGGTACAGAGAGACGAACAACCATCCGTGCTGACACTCACACCTCGGGACAATTTGGAGTGTTCAATCAGCCTGCCATTCATGTTTTTGGAATGTGGGAGGAAACCGGAGTACCCGGAGAAAACCCACGGGGAGAACATGCAAACTCCACACAGGGAGGCCAGAGCCAAAATCGAACCCTGCACCAACTGCACTTGTGAGGCCGACATGCTAACCAGTCAACCACCGGGCCGCCAATGCACACATCACTCAACTCGATGGAAAAAAAAAAAGGCATCTTGCATTCACTCATATATACTGTATTCATGACACTTAAACCACAGCCCACGTTCTTTTCAAAAAAATAATTGATTAATCCTTCATTCCGATGTATCGAAGAAACAATGAGCCACAGACAACTAGAAGCTTATCACGATGATGTCTTTGCTCTTTGGTCACAACAACATGGCTCTGGTGTCAAAGCTCTGACAAAATATCATTCCCGGTGTTGCATATGGTGTTGCCTTTCTTAGAATCATAGTGTTAGCGAGGCTAAAAATATACAATGGAGCAATGCAAGGTGTCGTCTTTATTAAAGACACTATATGAGCAAAATAATTGGGATAACAGAACATATGGAGTTATTTTCGCAGTTTGAAAAGCTTCAAAGCCTTTGGGGAGACTCGATCAGATTTTTTTTTTCTCCCGTCATCCACAAGAGTGATTATTGCAACATGTTATGTTGTGAGAAAGTGTACATCACGACATGAGTGTGTCACCAGAATGTTTAAGATGTGAAAGCAATCAACAAACGAAAGATTTGTTGGGGTGTCGGTGTTTAGTCTCCAGGGAACCCCGCTCTCTAGACACCAAAGTGACAAGTTAAACATGTTTTGTCAAGATGCCGACGTGAGAAAGTTGCAAAACACTTCGTAATCTCATCTCGTCCCAATTATAGTTGTTGGGTGTCAATAATAACGTGATTTAGATGCACTGCATTGATTTTGCATGCTGAAGCATGAAAAAAAAAACATGCGTGGTAGGTTGATGGACCACTCTGAATTGTCCATAGGTGTGAGTGTGAGTGCGGAATGTTGTTCGTCCATGTGTGCCCTGCGATTGGCTGGCAAACAGTTTAGGGTGTCCCCCGCCTACTGCCCGAAGTCGGCTGGGATAGGCTCCAGCACACCCCGGAAGCGGATCAGAAAATGGATAGATGGATGTTTAACTGTTTCAAACTCCACATCATTTTGGATCATGCCATTTTCTGAAATCACTCACAGCAAGTCAAGATAATTGTTGTGATATGGATGGAAATGTGTGGCTCAAAAGCCAGGAACATAAGGTGTAGGAAGACTGCACCGTAGTTGCTGCACTCCCTGTTATTAAAAAAAAAAAAAAAAATGCATAGACCAGCACAGTTCTAATGTGTTTTTGTGTTGGATTCGAATAGCCAAATCTTGGTCAGTGGGCAACCCACTCTCTGAACTCAGCCAAAGTCACTCAGCAGTTTAGGGTTAGGAAAAGCAGCAGTTGACATCAGAACATCCCTTGAGAGTACACTGTCTTTTATTGTATTATTAATATTTTCTGTTACCGTATGTTGTGTAAATCACTTTGCCACAGTTGTTGTGAAAGTGCAATATCAAGATGTATTGTTGTATAGTGTTCTTGCATTGATATGGCTAAGCAATTTTGTCTTATTCGTACACAATGACATAAGGACTTGCTGGTCTGATAGCACTGAGGTGATCAGTGCGAGTACTAAAGATTTTGAGAAAAAGAAGAAAAGGCTTTTGCGGGAGACATTTGATACTCTTCCCGACTCATAGGGTTTTTAAAATGCCAATCTAAAAGAACGGGTAACTATAGGAACTAGTTGATAAAACAAAGTTCAACTCTTGGATTTTCATCCACACGGCGTCTCTGGATTTCAACTGAGGGTTACAGTGAGCTACATGGGACAGAAGGCTCACCTTTTCTGTTCACAAAGGACTGTGTTAGCTCCCAACCAAATCAATATGTCTTAAAAGTTTCAGATGATACAGCTATCCTTAGTCTGCTCACGAGTGACTCTGGCATGAGTAGCCACTCTGGCGGGATTGACACATTTGTTGACTGGTGTAATGACCACCACCTAAGCATAAATGTGGGGAAAAAAAAACAGAGGAAATGGTTTTTGACCCGAAATCAATTGGAGACCATAGCCCCATCTCTATAAATGGCGCGAACATCAAGCAGGTCTCCTCTTACAAATACTTGGGGGTTTACATGGATAGCAGCCTTAACTGGCAGACACACGTATCAAATGACTGTTCGAGGATCCATCGGCGTCCTCATTTCTTGCAACGTCTGAGAGTATTTGGAGTTGGCAGAAGCATTTTGTTGATCTTTTGTAGAGCAAACAATGAGTCAGTCCTGCGCTTTGAAATAACCAGTTGGTTTGGGAACCTAACCGTTAAAGTTAAAGATCAGATAACCAGCTTGGTTTAGACAGCAGGGAAGGGAATCAGGCAGCCCCCCCCCCCCCCGTACATACATGTCCAGTCTGTTATTCAACAGGCCAACAACATTTTAGGCAATCCTTCCCATGTACTACAATCCCAATTTGAGCTCCTAAACTCAGGAAGGAGGTGTCGGACTCCTCTCTGCAAATTAAACTGACATAAAAACTCAGCTTAATTAACAAACAATTAGCGGGAGGCAGACAGACAAGCAGGAGGACATGAGGGCAGTGTGAGGTGTGCATATGACTGCCATGTACAGCATTGTCCAATGTTTGTAGAGTATATATTGTCCTGTACTGTATGTATTGTCCAGTGTATGTTGTGTATTGTATGTTGTATGTATTGCCCAATGCATGTAGCAGCACGGCGGGCCTGTCCTCCGAGTTTCTCCTATGAGAGACCAAATAAAAGTCAAGTTCAATACAAATAATCGAACATTTCCTTTACATACCATTGATTTTAGATCCTTCGTTTGTAAATTTGATCACACATGTATGTATTACAATGTCATGTTGTACTGTACCCCTGAATGTTAATTAGCTGTTTTTGTTGTTGTTTATTCCAATGAAGGTTACGATTGAGATGGACTTTGGATGTGATTTAATGGATGGATTTATGGATATAGATAGTTTGATTGACACAAGGGATCAATCAATATCTTCCTCTTCGATGTCCACGAGAAAAAATGTATAGTGTGTAACTAATCAATCAACGAACACATTTTTACAACACTCTCCACTGGCTGCCTGAACTGTCCTTGCAAAACATTCCCTATTGAGTCCATCTTGACTGATTTCCCGCTGTTGTGTTTACATTCAAGGGGGTGTGTGCATCTCTCAGTCGGTGAAGATTCCCAGGGAACCCAAGCAGGGTGAATTTGACAAGATCATCAGACGCCTACGCGAAAATCCCAACGCAAGGGTCGTCATCATTTTCGCCAATGAAGATGACATCAGGTAAATGGCTAACTACACAGAGAAACCCACAGCAGAAGGCGAGCTGTGTGATAAATGCAGAATAAGGCAAAGTGGGGAGAGGTGTGTGTGTGTGTGTGGGGGGGGGGGGGGCTGACCTTATCCCCATTGACGTTTACCTCATATTTTCCCCTTTTGCAGGCGGCTGCTTCACGCTGCTAAAAAGGCCAACCAGACGGGTCATTTCATTTGGGTGGGCTCGGACAGCTGGGGCTCCAAGATTTCTCCTGTTTTGCACCAGGAGGAGATGGCGGAAGGGGCGGTCACCATACTGCCCAAGCGTCAGTCCATCAAGGGTAAAAGACAGTCTTCTGAGTCGTATCCTGGATACCGTATTTCTGCAAATAGTTTCTGGGGGCAGAGAGGTTTAGAGTGGAGAAATGCAGCAAAAAAGTCAAGAATCGATGCAGGATGTCTTGAACAATAAGTCGTGTTGCTCACCTGAATTCAAACACAGACACAATTGAGCATTTTGGAGCAACCACATGTCAGCATCTACAGGAGCACTAAAGTTTAAAACTTCATAACAGGGCTATGGTGAAGAAGTGCATCAAATTGACAACAATAAAGGCAGACTGGGTTGAAAGAATAAAAGTCATGTAGCGACCTGAATATGAGGATGAACACAACAATATGGAGCAATCACGTGAGTCAAGTGGTACACTGGAGTTTAAAATCGAATGAAAAGGACGATTATGAAGAAGAATCCACATGAATGAACATCGGCAGACTGCATTGAAAAAGTGAGTGGGACAGTCGGTATAATATAAACATGGATGCACATAACATTGTAGAGCGAGCACAGTCTACTGGATCATTGGAGGTGAAAACAATATGAGGAAATATATGAAGACAGACAAAAATAGAAAGAAGAGAGGCTGACTTTGTTGAAGAATTAAGCTGTGTGGTCCCACAGAATATAAACACAAATGCACACATTATGGCTGTATGAATGGGACATTGTATGCAATAGAAGGTATGAATTTGGCAGAAAGTAAAATTTAGACTATACCAGACAACAGTGGCAATGCATGTTGATTACGGATTTTTATCTCCCTCTGTATTCACTTATCAGTGTGACACCAGTTCATGGCCAGACCCAGTAATCATTCTTATTTTTGTTTGACTCTAAACTCTAATTTAAGTAAGAGACCGTTATCTGCTTTGGTAGGTGCTGCTGCTTTGGTTAGCAGCAGAGTACAAACAGACTTTGCAGTAAAATCTCGAATGCAGGGGAGTCCAACCTTTTTTGACCAAAAATCTATTTTTTCATCAACCAACTTCCCACGATCGACCCGTTACCGCACAGGCGTGCATGCACTTACACACGCATGCCCTGATGAGCTAAAGCCATAACGGCCCCTAAGATGAACTAAACAGAAAAATAAAGTACCGGTAGACACAAAAGTTTGGGAGTTTGTGAAAAGCAAATCACTGCTTACCTTAGTACAGACCTGACGCGGTGGCATAGGACACAATTTTGCAGCATGTTCACGATCATAGCTCAAGTGTAGCGTTTTAAAATGCTTCTCCCGGCACTCCAGATTCCCATTCATTGCCAGTGCCGTCGGTGAATTGTACGTGAAGCAAACTCTGAATGAGAATAATACAGTCACACCTCGGTTTTCGACCATAATTCATTCCAGAAGGCTGTTCGAAAACCGATTTGTTTGAAAACCGAAACCACGCTCTTTTAAAAAAAAAAAATCTTTATTGAACACGTCTGTTCACCATGGAACACTAAACTTCCTCATCTACCCGAGGAAGCGTCACTTCCTCGTGTGAGGAAGGCGAGAGGAGTCAAGTGACGCATTCAAGTGGGTTCAGTTTGTTCGAGAACCAAAATTCGATCGCCATCCGGGGCATAAAAATCTCGAAATTTTTGGTCGAAAACCAATTTGGTCGAGAACAGAGATGTTCGAAAACCGAGGTTTGACTGTAATAACAATAAAAGATATTGCGTACCAGTTCTGATCACAAGCTACAATTGCAGACTGCTGAGCGCGAGCAACTTCCGGTGACGCAGGTCACTCGCCACCGTAGGTTAAAGGTGACCTGCTTTTAAAATTTTACTTCATTTTTTAAATACTTTTTGTGAAAGTGAGACTGATAGGATGCTCAGGGTGCAGTGTGCATGAACACAAAAATATATCATATTAATAACATGCACACAGACACACAAATGTTTTGGGTTGGGATTTTTTTTTTCCCCTCTAGACGCCTCGCGATCGACGTGGGACCAGTCCGCGATCTCCCGGTAGATCGCAATCGATGTATTGTATCTGCTCTAATGTATCTGTATGTGAACAATAAACTCTAAGCTGCGAAAATGACTCTTTCTGGTAGATCTGAAAATGTCTTAAATGCAAGTAATTGGGGCACAGTGTCTATTAGTTGGATGACTACTTGAGGAAATGCAGTCATTTGCAACCACATTCTGGAGCCGCACTCTATGTAATGACTGATGTCGCTGAATGTCTGCAGGCTTCGATCGCTACTTCATCAGCCGCACGTTGGAGAACAACAGACGAAACATCTGGTTCGCTGAGTTCTGGGAGAACAACTTCAGCTGCAAGCTGAGCCGGCACGCCCTGAAGAAAGGCTCCGGGCTCAAAAAGTGCACAAGTAAGTCATATTTAGGTAGTTAACACGTTAATATGATACAAAGAAACGCCATTTTGGCTACATCTCAACCTTTATATTCAGTCTTCAGGAGAAAAATGCTCATATTAAAATGGGTTTAAAATTTTGAGGGTGTTTTATAGCAGTTCTTCTGAGGGTTTTGGATGGATTCAGATGCGTCACGGCATGGCAAATGAAGAAAGAAAACTCACATAGAATGGATATCTTCAGATCGGAATCAGTTTTGTTCCAAATGGAGATAAAAATCTGACACCGATTGGACAAATTGGTTCTACCCCATCAGTCAATGAAAAAATGTATAGACACGTGCATCTGCCCAAACAAGTCCAACCAAAATCTGAGTCACCTGACGCATACTGCACAAAAAAAATTTTGCCATGAAAATACTCCAACTACACAATTTTTCTTGCTGCCATTTAGTGTAAAACACATTCAAAGTGGATGTACTGCATTATCAGTGATGCATTCATCTGGACACATCTGGCCAAGGTGCACAGACAGAAAAAAAAGAAAGACCTGCTGTAAATCCAAACTGAAACAAAATCATAGATCATTAAATACAGTGGTACCTCGACTCACAAAATTAACTGGTTCTGGAAAAAATGTCTTAACTAGAAAATTTTGTAAGTAGAGGCGCGTTTTCCATGTAAATGCCCTAATCCGTTCCAACCCCCCCTAAAATTCGGACATAAATGTTTCCTAAAGCATAAAAATGCATCAAAATATGTCACAAATCAATGTTACAATTATATTATTGCACAAATGAGAGTTGTGCATAATGTAAAAAATAAAGAATAGCATAAAGAAGAAAAATGATGGTCACTTAACTTCTAACTGTGTCCCCATTGTTTTTTGCCTGGCGTTTTGTAGAGAACTGATCCAAGATCATTTGCTTTTGTCGGCTTTTAACAATCCTTCGAAAATGTCCAAGGCAAACATTAGCAAATTGAGTGATTGCGCGACTGGTGAACACTTTTTCTGGGTGATTCAAATTTACATAAAACTATCGGAACACCTCTTCGCCCGAGAGGCGAATGATGAGGACGCTGCATACACACATAACTATCTTTAATACTCACAGAGACAGATACGGTAGAAGTCCCTTTAGCCAATGGGATGCCAGGATGATGCTCGGTAATAGCCAATGGCAGAACAGCTCAAAGTAGGTTGCGTTCAGGAAATTCAGAGCTGCGATAAGTGGGCCAAACTGTATTTTTACCTTTCGTATCTTGAAATTTCTTTCGTAACTAGAGCCCATATTTTCTTGTTGAGACGTTTTGTAACTTGAAAATTTCGTATGAAGAGACATTCGTAAGTAGAGGTACCACTGTATGGTAAAAATATGCTGCATTACTGTAAATAAGCAAAATAATTGCTGACATCCACTAGTGCAGTAATGTAGCATTTATCCTCATTTAAAACAATGGGGGGGAAGTCAGCCAAGGCCAAATAAACACCATGTTCAATATTTTTATCATATATTTATTTTTTACTGTTGACTTCTATGCTGTTCCTGCCTGCTGTTGAAACGATAATAGTTAAATACGGTATGTGCAATTTAAGTGTTATATGGCGACTTAAACAGGCATATTGGCTGTGTTTATGCGTTGTATACATAATGAACATAGACCAAATAAAATAAAATTCCAGGCAATAAGTCTTAATTAGGGACCTTGAAGCGCAGTGGAAATTCGGCCACATTTGATTTTTAGAATTGCATGGCCCGAATAAATGTTATCAAGAATATAGAGTCCTACTCATTTCTACCAACAAAAATTCAAAGTGTCCCGTTGAAGCCGAAATACACTTCTTGAGGCAGCATGCGTGCACACGTGCTCGGCGGGGAATCGAGGCAGCAACCCTCATGCTGTGAAGCGCTAGTGAGTCACCACTCTGCCCCGAGGCCGCACAATTGCATGCTCACTCGCTACTTGCCATGCAGATGTTGGTATTTAACAGCAACAATGTGTTTGTTGTGATGCGAAGTATATGACCCCATGCTAACGCTGAGCTGTGTTTAAAGTGCTCTGCCCAAACAAAATTGTTTGCATTCATATTTGTCGTTTCAGTTTAATGTCAGGTGGACACTTGAAGTGGCTGTCAAAAATTTGACCATTACCGTAATATTATGACTATTAATTATCTACTGTATTTCAAGTTTTACACACGCATATCGATAATCAAGCCAAAGTTTGGGCATCTTTCTCTCTCTTAAATCAGCAAAAAAGCTTGATTATCAGATGTCTCGAAAAGATTATACAAAACGGTTCATCTGTGCTGTGTGGTGTAATAATAATCACAAGTATGTTATTGTAATATCACTGAAGGACTTCACATGAAAAGTGTATCATCAATCACTGAGGGTCTCCATAGAGGATGTGCTGTGGCTCAGACGGGGAGTGTTGGGGATTACACTGATACAGTTCAGTCGTAGTGACCTGTGCTTGCTGGTCCCTGGCAATGCTGGTGAGCTCCTCCGGGAATTCCAGCAATGCTCCAATAGAAACAGCATTTCCCTACCACCACAGCCAACATGTCAATTAAGTAGTACGGGATATTACACAAATGCCAGGCGGACATTATTGTGCTTTGGTGAGGGCACCATATACTGTAAATATTGTGATTCATGGTAGAAACGACATTGAAAATGAAAAGTAAACCAACTGTGAGCAGATTCTTCAGTAAACAATGCAATAAAATCCATTCATCCTTTTTCTGATCCGCTTTATCCTCACAAGGGTCGTGGTGGGTGCTGGAGCCTAGCCCAGCTGTCTTTGGGCAGTAGGCGGGGGACACCCTGAATCGGTTGCCAGCCAATCGCAGGGCACACAGAGACGAACAACCATCCACACTCACACCTCGGGACAATTTAGAGTGTTCAATCAGCCTGCCATGCATGTTTTTGAAATGTGGGAGGAAACCGGAGTACCTGGAGAAAACCCACACAGGAACGGGGAGAACATGCAAACTCCGCACAGGGAGACCGGAGCCGGAATTAAGCCCATGACCTCTGCACTGTGAGGTTGATGCGCTAACCAGTGCCGCCCTACAATAAAATCGAAATCAATATTCATGAATACAGAGCAAATAGTGGTACCTCAATGTAGGAAGTTAATTCATTGGGTGACCTTGTTGACCTGTCCAATAACTAAACTTGCATTTAGTTATAATTATTTCAATACAAGGAGTTCTCTTCCATAATATCCTGTTCATTTTTTTTGTTTGTTTTTCAAGTTAAGAAATGCCGCAATACAATAAATACTGCATACTAAATACTTTTAATGCTGAACCCTTTTGCCACATTAATCAGAAATCTAGGCGCTGTTGTAATTGTGATTGGAAGAAGCATGTGTGTAAGCGGAACTTCCGGCTGAACAAACAGCACCTTTCCATCTGCTGTTGCGTAGCAGACATCAAGTTTTATGCAGATTTTATGAGGCGTTTACAGCCAACAGCAACGCTTAAGTCATTCTGAGGTCTAATTAAGAGTAAAAAGAAAAAAAAACTGCACAACCATTGCAATGAGTTACGCACAGAGCCAATAATGGTTAAATAGCACAAGAAGCACAACACTGATACGCCCGCTCATCCATGCTGAGACGTCTTACATAACAAAACGTACGTAAGTAGAGGCAGATTTTCTACCAACATTTGTGCCTAACTCGAAATGTTTGTAAAAAGGGTCATTTGTAACTTGAGGGTCCGCTGCTTTATGGAAGTGCAACAAATAGAATTTAGCTTCATTTGAGGAAACCAAATAACTAAAATTCAAGCTAGAATCAAACATGCGTGTTTAAGGATTGTGGGAGGAAACCACAGTAGCCGGAAAAAAAACCCACACGGGCACAGGAAGTACATGCAAACTTAAGATTCAAACACATAACCTCAAATCAATGAGGCGGACCAGTGTCCGGTTTTATAGCAAAGCTGAGTTGGGAGTGAGCGGAGCTCCAAAATGAAACTGAATTTCCCCTGTCACTCACCTCAGCCATTACAGCTATTTTTGCGTCAAGCACCATTATAACCTTTGCTTCACAGGGACGATCGGTCTCACAACAGTTGTTGGAGGTTAAAGAGTGACAACCCTCTGCAGAGGGGAGAAGATTTGACATCTCTCTCAGCAGGGAAAAACAAAAGAAAAAAAAATTGAAAACAAGAATGATCAGCGTCCTGCTCGGCCCCTCATCAAAAGATGAGGAGGGCTTGGGTGACCATCTAGACCAAATAAAAGGGAGGTTTGTCTTTTATCTGTGTATGAAGAAGAGATGTAAAATTGATACTGCTTGGTGTTGAAAGGGGAGGCAAGGTGCAGCACAAACACAGAGAGAAAGCAGCAGGGAGAGTAAATGCCGTATTGCTAAAAAAGATGCTAACAGCACTCGGAGAGGGCGGCTGCACTGGAGGAGCAATCAGAACATGACAAAATTATTTAATGGACTAGTCTTGTCTGATGAATTTGAATAGAAGCAGGAAACTGCACCAGCTGAGAGGTTGGCAGATGCTTGCGGAGAGAAGGGGAGTTGCTAGCGGACCGGGCAGAGTTAACGTTTAATGAAAAGCCATTTGTACCCTTTTCACCTAATCACAGAGGACGGAATTTGTTTTTTATAGCTACAGATTAAAATACAGTATAATTAAAAAGTCTCCCAGAAGATACATTTTGGCCAAATGATATTTCTCTTTATTACTTTGTCCAGGAAATATCGTATCACATGATAGGTTAATATAATTGCTGCAAGGTAAAAAAAGAAAATCTAACTTTACTTCATTGGTCCAAAAATTATCGATCTATGCCAGCGATGAGAAATGACAGAAAGTATTTATTGTACTTCCATGCTTTTCAACTAAATGGGAAAATGTACTTTTGTTTAATTAACCTGAAGAACAACTGTTGCCATTCATGCAGATTGTCAGCAATAGTTGTGTTCAACTGAACAGGCCCACATGTCACATTGAGTAACTGAATGAGTAATTTGAGATGC